CACCCTTCTGGCAAGACAGTGATGGAGTGAATGATGGTGAAAGTTTTTCTTTTTCGGGCCACCCTGCCTTGGTGGGAATCGGCCGGTGTGATAATAAAATAAAAATACATATATGTAAATGAGCACGAGGAGGAGGAAAAATGTAATGTTACAAATGTTAACTTTGGGTAAATGTATATGAGGTGGTGAAGAGGAAACAATATGTTTTAAAAGTAATAAGCAAAAAAAATTTACAAATCGAAATTTTTTTTTTTAAATATTTTAAATTCTCATACATCAGACCTTACAAAAAATTATTATTCTACCCTACATACAAAAACTTCCTTATGAAAGCATGAAAAAATGGTTAATACTTCAAGAATTGTTTTCCAACTTATGATTAACATATTAATTTCTAGTAATTTTTTTAGCACAGGTAAGCAGAGAAAGCCATATTTATTTAGAATAACATAAAGACCTTACCAACCAATACTGCCATAAGTTAAATTAACAGCTACCCCAGCACTAACTACAATGCTTGCATACCAATTGAATTTCCACAATAATTATTTTTGCTTATGTACTTAATGTCTTCACAATATAAATGTTGACATTGACACTATACATAACATATGATTTGTGACATAATAAGCATTAATTTCCCTATGAACAGGTAAACCCCAACATGAATGGAAAACAAAATATAGAGTAGAGAGGCTCTGTAGATTTTGACCTCTATCAGATCTACAGAGGGTCTTATCTGTTGAAAAAGGGCTTCAGCTGCTGAAGAGAACCTCATCTACTGAGGAGAGTATTTGATCGAGGCCAACACATGGCCCCTTCCTACTACATGTTTTAATTTCCATCCATAGGCGACTTGCCTGTTCAGTGATCAGTATTTACAACATGTGTATAATAAAACCTCTGTAAGTGCATGCACCAGTCAGTAACTTATCTGTAGAGCTGGGTGGTCACAGTCTTCAGGATGAGCAACCAAAACATAACTTTAAGTTTAGAAGTCACCACATATGAACAACATTACTAATAATTTGTCATGAAATGGATAACAAATTTTTTCTAGAAATCATGTAGAAGGTGATGGTGTACTGAGTCAACTGATGAGGTGTTTTAAGTTGATGCATCTCCTTATTCTCTCTGGATACAGCATGTCTAAAAAATTTTTTAATTTCATTTGCTTGCAAATATCAGGGCGCAACTGCCATTTAATTTTTCAGTAATGGATTTATATACATATATTCAAATGATTGTATTGCAGGTTTAAATGCTTTGGAAGAATAAATACAGTAAACCTTGGATTTAATGAATGATGAGGAGGGGGAAGTGGGTAGGTGGTGATGGCAATTTTGATGGATAGGGATGAGATCGTTTTGCCACAGTTGTAACACTGATGGACAATTCTGCAACCAACGAACTTTGCCTGCTGTTTCAAAACTAATTAACCCAGTAGATTTTAACCAGTATTTCACAACTACATTAAACTGTGATTTGTTAAATCAAAGGCTTACTGCACAACATTATTGTTTTGCTATGGAGTTCATGTTACAGAGCAGCAAGAATGTTAGAGTTCTGTAGTATATGTGGCTGCACTCACTCAAACTTACCCCTAATTTTGTGAAATAAATAAATTCTACTTCATATCCCACAATTTGTATTAACCCTTTCACTGTCCATCACTTAGAGCTACGTTACTGACATCAAGGTCTGTCCTGTAGATCTAAGGCATGAGCTCAGTTCTCTCAGATAAGCTATGAGTGGTAAATTTTGACCTAGATATGAGAGAATGGGTCTGTGTGGTAAGTGTGCACAGTATAAAAAAAAAAACCTGCTCTATGCAGTGCATGATGGGAAGAGCAAAACTATGATCCTATGTTTAGTTTAAAACAGCAATTTTGAGGTGTTCTCAAGGATGGCTTTTATAGTTTTATTGGCTGTTTCTTGGTATCATTTCATAAAATGGAAGACATACTACTGAAATAGACATGATTTTAGTTGGTTCCAGGACCACAAAGAAGCTTGATATCGGCTTCAAAATAGTGAAAATATTCAATTTCTGACGATTTTCCTGAGGACAGGTAAGGCCTCCCTACATCCTCCAGCCTGTTTTACAGGTTTTACTAGGTCTGGTTCAATTACTGGGATGCTGTAAACCATGGTTATATTATTTTACCTGAGAAATAGATAAATCTTTTATTTTTTATGTGATGATAAATTCAAATTGGAGAGCAAGTGTAATATAGGAGAAGCCTAGGGATGTAATTAATGAAAAAGATATGCTGCTTTAGCACCTGGAATGCCTATAGTGTTTACTTTGAACTCATATTTTTAAACCAGAATTTGTTTTTAATTTTGTATAAAATTGACCAAATCAGTGACTTCTGTGCACTTTATAGCATAGTTCTGATAGTTGAATGGGCAATTTTTTGTGCTCAATTGACAGAAGGCTTACTAACAAAATGGCTAAGAATTTGGTCTAACTGAGCACCAGAATCAGCTTAAAATAGCACTCAATTTTGGCACAAATGCTGATGTGCAAATTGCACCAAGACCACTAACTTTGCACCTGCATAATGTCTTAGTTTTATCATCAGATTTCATATTTTTGGCATCATTACTTTTGACTTTTTTTTTTTTTAGAAAAATATGGACACTGTGAGCACTTAATTTTGGGGCTCTGGACAGTGAAAGGGTTAATAAAATGCTGCATATAAGACCATGTTTTTACTGTGGTTATCCTGCTTAATAGATTATCTTGTATATATACTGACTGACATACACACACACACACACACACACACACACACACACACACACACACACACACACACACACACACACACACACACACCACACATGCTCACATGCACGCACATGCACACACACACAAACACACTCACATGTATATTTTACTCAACAACCATCTCCTGCAAAGGTAGGGTGACCCAGAGAAAAAAACATTCATCAGCATTCACTCATTCACTGTCTTTCCAGAAGTGTGCTGCCATCACAGTCAATCACCCTCTGACTGCACCATCACCACCCACTACTTCAGAATGCAGGCACTGCCCTTTCCTCCTCTAGGACTCAAATCCATCTAACTGGTTCCTCTGAATCCTTCATAAAAGTTACCATGCTCACACTTCAACAATGCATCCATTAACAGCCACTGGTCTCAATGCACACCTCTCTTTAACACTCACATAAGCCTGCTGGATGCTCATGTTCCTAAAACTCAAAGCTTTTTGTACCCACCTCCTTCCAATCATTGCTGGGATGCCCCTTTGTCCCGTTCACTTTTCAACCCAGATTTATACACCTTCATTAACCTATCCCCATCCTATATACATGCCAAACCCCCTCAACAACCCCTCCTCAGCTTTTCTATTATACCCTTGGTTACTCTATATTGCCTTTTAATTTCTTCATTCTGAATTCTCTGCATGACATTCAAACCACACACTGCTCTTAAACATGAAAGGACCAGGAGCTGCAACTCAACTCCTGCAAACAAACAGGCATGTACATCTCCACCTCTAGTGTCATTTTCACTACAGTATTCAAACCTATGCCTCTCACCCATATAAAAATATTGGTACCATTGTACTATAGAACATTCCCTTTTTTTTTTTTTTTTAACAAGTTGGCCATCTCCCACCGAGGCAGGGTGACCCAAAAAGAAAGAAAATCCCCAAAAAGAAAATAATTTCATCATCATTCAACTCTTTCATCTCACTCACACATAATCACTGTTTTTGAAGAGGTGCTCAGAACACAACAGCTTAGAAGCATATACGTATAAATATACACAACATATCCCTCCAAACTGCCAATATCTCGAACCCCTACTTTAGAGTGCAGGCATTGTACTTCCCATTTCCAGGACTCAAGTCCGGCTATATAAAAATAACCGGTTTCCCTGAGTCCTTTCACTAAATATTACCCTGCTCACACTCCAACAGATCGTCAGGTCCCAAATACCATTCGTCTCCATTCACTCCTGTCGAATACGCTCATGCACACCTGCTGGAAGTCCAAGCCCCTCGCCCACAAAACCTCCCTTACCCCTTCCTTCCAACCTTTTTGAGGACGACCCCTACCCCACCTTCCTTCCCCTACAGATTTAAATGCTCTCCATGCCATTCTACTTTGATCCATTCTCTCTAAATGACCAAACCACCTCAACAACCCATCTTCTTTCTCTCCACAGATACTTCAACACACCTTCCACCTTTTTCCCTTAATGTTTTCTATGGTTGACATCCTCTCTTATAGACCCATCTGTTGACATGTCCATTCTTAAATATCTAAATACATCCACTTCTTCCATGGGGTCTGGACATACAGGAGGCATGTGTGAGTGTGATAGGAGTGAGTGGAGACAAATTGTTTTTGAGACTTGACAAGCTGTTGGAGTGTGAGAAAGGTAATATTTTGTGAAAGGATTCAGGAAAGCTGGTTAGCTAGACTTGAGTCATGGAGGTGAAAAGTACAGTGCCTCCACTCTAAAGGAGGGATTTGGGATATTTGTTATTTGGAGGGACATCTAAACTGTTATATTTGTGCAAGACAGTGACAGTGTGAATGATAGTGAAAGTGTTTCTTTTATGGGTCACCCTGCCTCAGCAAGAGACAGCCAGTGTGTTAAAACAATATATATATATATATATATAACATGAATAAGAAAATGTATATTTCATGTGTGTTCTCTTCATGCAAGATACCATACAATAATGCATAATGGGATTTCTTAATCATGCACAAATAATTAATACAGGAGAAATCAGGAACCCATTAAAAAACATAAGGCAAGTGCTCTTAAAACTAAATATATCCTACAACCCTGTCATGCAAAATCTCCTTTAAAACCTTCAATTCATAGGTGAACCAATCTGACATCGAACTTGCCCAACATTTTGTAACAATTTTCATAGATTTTTCCTGTATTTTCTACAAACATCATATAGAACTACACTGGTGTTAGATCATTCCTAGTCAAGACTTACTGGTGTAGCGTAACTGTCCTTCATAGAACGGGAGCGTGACGTGCTGCTGCTTACCAAACATGGAGGAGACCAGATTGTCGTCACCTGGACACAAACAACACCCACAATGGACAAGGGTTAGTCAGCAACAGTTTTCTTCACTGTTGTCACAGCTAGGTCTAGGTCTGTCTCTTGTGCTTGATGAAACTTCTGATACATTGCAAATTTAGATGAGCAGTGATCAAACTTAATTTTTTTTTTAAACACAGCAGCCATCTAATATGCCAAGGTGGTAACCCCCAAAATTTAGGTAAAACATTCACCAACATCCAATGTGTTTCCTCTATTCAGGGTCATCCAATCTCAGGGGGAGACAGTCGCTGTGTTAAAAAAATCTAAGAACATTAATATAGTCTGGGCTTACATTCACTAATAAAAGATGGAAATATTTCTAGATGACCAAAATACTTCTAATTTATTTGCTCTCCTTCACATTATAATGTAATGCTTTGATCATTAATTCTTTTAGGAACTTCATCAAGCACAATTAAAGTGTCAGTTTTGATATAGGTCTCTCTGTCTTCTGCACAATCCTCATGCCTTTCTATAAGATTCAGAGCACAGGTAACAGTTTCAGCCAATAAGTATTCCTCATATTATGTTATCAGATAGTTTAATATTGGTCAGTTGTTTATATCATGCATCTTGCAGTATTTACAAGGAATTTCTGCTTTATGATTACAGTCATTCGATATATTTACAAATTGTGCAGTATCCATGATCAAATTAAAAAACAAAAAAAATATTATAGCAGATAACAACACATAATAATATATAAATTCAACAATGGAAAAATATTACAATTATTTGAACCACTGCTTTTACAAAACTGAACAACATATAGACTCAAAATAAAATATTTCAAGCTCAAATAATGAAACTATGTAATATAGCCAATGTATCTACAGTGTATGGAATTTATGATCCTCACTTTCCTAATCATACCATCAATTATAACAGGGATTTTTTTTTATTTCAAAATAAAACCTGAACTAGTTAGTAAAGAATGACATAAGAAGTTAAAATATTTTTTGTCTCCAGTCTAATAAATAAACTAAGAACTTTCAAGTCTTGATAAAAAATATTATGCATTCTTAATTTTAGTTAAGAGCTTGCGCCCACTGGAAAAAAAGGTAAAGTGTTACACTACCATGAATTTATGAGTGCTGGCTCCATAGCCTATTCTCAGTATTATTAAACGCATTCAGCTGTGGAAGGTCCAGAGCTTGAGAGCTACCCAAGCACTCCTTAAAACACTACACAACTTGACACAACTAAGAGAAACAAGCAACTTCTAGCTACAGTTTGTCAAGATGCTGTCACTTGTCAAGTCATTTTTAAGAGTAATGGCTCCACCTTACCCTTTTGATGATGATGATTCTTGAGAATGCCTTGCACTGTTGCTCTTGCATGCATACATATTTGTTTGCAATCCTCAATTCTAAAATTATTAACTACACCTCTTCGAAAGAGGTGATGACATGCTTATATTCATCTAATAATATAATGCAAATCTAAAAATTAATTTTTCAATCAATAAGTCACTCATGAGTTTTTACTAGACTAAATATGCTGCATATAAACAACACTCAAATGTTTATGGCAAAATAAAATTTTATAAAGTTTTACTGTGAATTATAATATAAAATTTAAAGCCATGCCTAACATGCAAAGAAAAGTAACCTTGAAATTCAAATAATTAATTCTTGCTAGAGAACATTCCTGGTGTAGCACATGCTTTAATTCTGCAACAGCAGTTACTACAAAGCATTAACAGAATTTTGAAAAAAAAAATATATAAAAAGAAAACAAAAGAAGACGTCATGTGTGCCAGTCACTGTGTCATTCATAGCAGAAAAAAATGTCATTTTCAAAACCACAACAAACGGCATTAAATAATAAGAAACCCTAAAAAATCTAGTTCAAACAATAAGGTGTTAATAAGTGACACCAAACTCAGTCACTAAAATTATGTTATGGAAAACTTATGAAAGAACACACACATATTTTTGAAAATCTGCACTCAAATTTGAAATCAATCATATGCTAAGGGATAATTAAGACTGAGCTAGCAAACCCCAGTGGTTACATATAACTACCCTACCTTCAGTGCCTATAACATCACTAAGTTATAACTGCTATCAGCATAAAATTCTCAGAACATGCTGTGGAAAATTTGTAAGAATTCTGTGTGTGTGTGTGTGTGTGTGTGTGTGTGTGTGTGTGTGTGTGTGTGTGTGTGTGTGTGTGTGTGTGTGTGTTAAGTGTGCATATGTGTGTGTATGTGTGTGTGAGTGTGTATATGTGTATATGAGTGTGTGTGTGTGTGTGTGGTGTGTGTGTGTGTGTGTGTGTGTGTGTGTGTGTGTGTGTGTGTGTGTGTGTGTGCATATATGTGTGAAATGTGTATGTGTGTGTGCGCGCGTGTGCGCGTGTGCACGTGTGTGTGTGTGTGTGTGTGTGTGTGTGTGTGTGTGTGTGTGTGTGTGTGTGTGTGTGTGTGTGTGTGTGTGTGTTTTCCATTTTCACTTTTTATTGGTTTAAAAAATGCCACCATATCTTTATTACAGTCTTTGAAAGCCGCTGCCTCTAGCATAAACGCTAGAACTGAAAATCTGCATTTTATCTCACACTGGAGGGATGAAAAATAAAATGTACGTATCGATGTGTTAATGTCTTTGTGAGAAAAGATATGGCAATACATGTAATCTATCGAAAAAGAAAAAGTATAAATGATGTTACTGAAACAATATCATACTATATATATGCACAAAAATAAAAGCAAGTAAATAACTGCTTGCATGAGACTCAAATAACATACTCATTTAAAATAATCAGCACATACAAGTAAAAACTAAAATGGATGTCAAAAATTATTAACAACCACCTAAAAAAACTTTAAGTCTTACACTGAAATATGTCTTTTATATTATTAATGATACATTACATTAAATTATACATTAAATAAAATACACATAATACATTATGCAATTTAACAATTAAAAAATTAATCTATCACTCAAAAGTCCAGTTAAATAAAGAAAAGTGATAAACTAAAAATGGCGTAAGTTATTCCAATGAATTATCCATCGAAAATGTTCCTCATAAATATAACACTGAAAAATATATATTACTGCACTAAATTCTAGTAAAAAATATATACAATAACTTACCTCCTTCATCCTCAGACTCGCTCATGAAGGTTTCATGCATAGTTTCTGGAACCACCACCTTGTACTTCTCCTCAGTAACTGTTGTTGTAGTTGTGTTTATGGTTGTTTCTGTTACAACTTTTAACGTCTCGACTACAGAGATGTAGCCGAGACGTTGAGCAATGCTGAGTGCCGTCTTGCCGTCCTGTGTCAGGAGATACAGTTCCCACATAAAATATGTACGCAGTATCACATGAACTCAAGAAAAAACTTGCCATTACAACACACAATTTATATGCCATTTAACAAAAGACTATTAAAACAGTACAGTGGACCCCCGGTTAACGATATTTTTTCACTCCATAAGTATGTTCAGGTGCCAGTACTGACCGAATTTATTCCCATAAGGAATATTGTGAAGTAGATTAGTCCATTTCAGACCCCCAAACATACACGTACAAACGCACTTACATAAATACACTTACATAATTGGTCGCATTCGGAGGTAATCGTTATGCGGGGGTCCACTGTATTGTCATATAAAAATTTAAAAAATAATATGAATCAGTAATATAATAATGCAGAAAAATATCCACATCTGGCAAAGTTTATATTTGCCGGGCAAATGGATAACTCACGTTAGTTTCTGTGTTGGGTTCAGCCTTGTTCTCTAGAAGAAGGTTAACAATCTGAGTGTGACCCTGCTGAGCTGCCTGGTGGAGTGGAGTATACCTGTTTGGGAGAAGGGAATTTTCATTTAAATACAGCATATTTGTGCATTTAGTCTACGTCAAAAAACAAAAAGGTCTAAATCCACAAATTTGAATACTAACTTTCTATTTACAAACAATAATTACAAATCAAATATGACTCCTTGGTATAAACTAATAAATTCATAAGTCTTAGAACATATTAACACAGCTTAAGACAAGACATACATTAGGCTATTTAATATATACAGTACCAAAGTATTTCATATTGTACTGTACATTTGAACCCTGGCATTCATATGCTTCATAATCCACGAGTTTTGACTCTATGTTTTTACTGAGGTTTATTTTGTGGGTAGCTTCGAACATTCATTTATTTATTTTTTATGCCTACTGTCTTTTTGTTCGTTGCATAACCCATAAATTAAAAACTAACTTTAGGATTTCATTTAGAAAATGTGATTATTCTTTCTAATATTAACCAGTTTAGAGCAATATTTAAAGACATATGGTCAAATTTTTTAAATACAGTAGAACCTTGACTTATGAGTTTAATCCGTTCCGTGACCTAGCTCATAACTCAATTTGCTCGTACATCAAATCAAAGATTAACTGAAATGCCATTAATCCATTCCAGCGGAATTCCTACTCTCGGGAGGCAAGAGAAAATACTTCAGTATAATGCTAATATTAACTCTATGGCTTATTTATCTATCACAATTGATCTAATGTGACATAATAAATAACATAGAAACATGATATATACTCTAGAATGAATAAAACATGTCATTATGTGATGAGTGGTGGCGGCGATTCCCACTCCCGTTCTGACCATATCTTCCCATGCTCTTATTATATGAGAAAATGGAGAGTTTATGAGGCTAACTGCACTAGATCACTAGTTTCATAAGGAAAATGCTGAAACAATGTATTTATAAATAAGAAATATTTTATAAAAACATAACAAAACATTACAGAGAATGTAAAGAAATAAACTGCTTTATAAAGTGTACTTACACATTTACCTTGGAGAAGAGATGCTGGCAGGGGGGCGTATGCTAACCATACCACGGGTGGGGTTTGATGGTCAGAGTCTCAAAACTCCAGACCATCGTGTTAGCCACTGGGCCAGCTAGCTTCAATAAGATTCATCCAATTAGGTATATTTCTACACCACAGGAAGGTTAGCATAGGCACCACTGTGACCACAAATGCAAGTTTTTACAGACGAATCTCCCGCTAGCATGGCCGTGACGAACTCTAGCTAACCTTCCTATGGTGTAGAAATATACCTAGTTGGATGAATCTCATTGAAGCTAGCTGGCCCAGTGGCTAATGCGACAGTCTGGAGTTTTGAGACTCTGACCATGGGATCAAACCCCACCCATGCTATGGTTTGTTTGCAATCGTGTCATTACGATGTCGTGAGTCAGGAGTATGCTCTCAGTGGCCCTATAAACCACAACAACAAAAACAATGGAGGAGTTTGTTTCATTTCGTCCTTTTTCTATCGCTTAATCACTTAACTTACTTGCTACACTCTTAATGCTACACTTTATCACTGAACTTAACTGCTACAATTTGTTTTTTATTTTTTTTCACTTCACTTTTCATTGATTTACTTGCTACACTCTTAATGCTACAACCCACAACCCACACACCTCGCTTGTGTTTATCTATGATTTCATGCTTTAATTCCACGGACATCATCCTCTTTTTCTTCTCAGCACTGTCCTTTGCACTTACTCTTTTAGGACCCATGGTTAGAAAAAATTAATTTGGCAAAATAATTGCACAAAATGCAAGCAAAACACAAGAGAAATGCTTCCACGGTGAGGTAAACACGTGCACTGCCCAGTAGATGTTGCGCCAACTAGTGGCAGTGTTCTGAAGCTCACTAATTATTATTATTACCTACCATCCGACTTACGACCAAGTTCGGTTCCGAGAAACCGGTCGTAAGTCGAAATGGTTGTAAGTCGAACTTTACTACTGAATATCAACAAAACATTTTTGTAATGACTTTATTTTATTGTTTTATTTTGGTATTTCATGTTTTACTTTACTTTTTATGCTGTTAGTACTTATTTTATACTGTAAGGTTTAGGATAAACACTTTGTACAACACAAATAGTTGTTTATTTCCCAGAAATTTGGCATAAAAAACACGGTCGTAAGTCGAGCAGGTCGTAAGTTGGATAGTAGGTGTATTATTATTATTATAATGAGGAGGCACTAAACCCATAGGATTATACAGCACCTGTGGGGGGGAGGGGATGGAAGATATTCAGGCATAATTTAGGGAACTAGAGCACAGATCCAATTCCCTATATCAAGAGCCCCTCACCAGCATCAAGGAACCTCCCTTGAGGGGGAAGCCTGCTCGTAACTTGGATTTAGGCTCATAACTCAGAGCAAAAAATCGACCAAGCAACAGCTCATATCTCAAAAAACTTGTATGTTGGGGGATTCGTAAGTCAAGGTTCCACTGTACTTGCAAAATCTCCTATTGTCCATGATTCATGTCACACTCAGGAACCCAACTTCATGAATAATGGGGTTCAACTATAAGTTAACTTGAAGTCATATTAAAATATATACTGTACTTCAACACTGGAAATGAACTAAAACATAACTCTACAGTACAGTAAAATAATAACAAGAGAATTTAGACAGAACATCAGCTGGTCTGTAACGTCCAATCTTTCTTTAAAAATATTAGGAGAAATGGGAGTATCTTATATTTAAGTTGTATAAGTAGAAGAAAAGAGAAAACAGAGTAAATGGAAACAGCTACCTGAAGTGTTTTGAAGTGGATTTCAGACCTCATTATTTTTTACTCAAATAAGCCCCAGAGGCTCTGTTTCTCCCTACCCTTATTCCAACACCCTGTACTCCCACCCCATTGTGTCACTTGCCATGACTATCATACCCATACACCCATGACCTGCCTCTCAGATTTTGTGATTACAGTGGAACTCCTATATCCACTGATTTGGTATCCACGGTTTCAGTTATCCATGGTTTACTGTGGCCCAAAAATACCTCTTAATTTTGCATAATAATGGCCCCAAAGCTGGAAAGTAGAAAAGGGCAGTTCTTTAAAGCCTAAGAGAAGCTGTGAAGTTTCCCATCTTATTGTGCATAATTTATCAATTAAACTTTATAATAGGTATGCACAGGACTTATATATAGGGTTTGCTACTATCCACGGTTTCGGTATCCATGGCAGGCCCTCAGAACATATCTCCTGTGGATACAGGGGTCCTACTGTACATATTAGTTTGTGTTTTAGTGATACTGTAAATTAAAAACTGATTAAAACAATATTAAATTCTAGAACTGGAATTTAATATTATGTTAATCAGTGAAGGGATTATTAAGTAGTCATTTAAGAAGGACTGACTGGTTTACATAAAAATAATTATCTTGACATTCCCCTTAATACAAGCCGAAAGGTAAGCTGCATATAAGCCAGAATTATTGTTTATAAAACACACCCAGAATAAAAGAATCTGCACGTGCAACCTCAAAATTCTTCTTCTGGCAAGTTTTGTTTATGATTTATGATCAGTATTAATTTTTCTATACACAACTAAGTTACTATAATATTGCCAACTCACAGAACAGTGGGATTTGAACCCACAGCAAGCCAACAATCCACTGTATCATGCTAGGCTAAGATTCATTCAACTAAGTGTATTTCTATATACGTTAGGTCACATCTGTGATCTCGTTGTTATTCATATATGTATTTAGTCAATTAACCACTTGAAAATTTATTTTTAAAAATAAGACCTGACTTAACTCATTAATAATTAAACAGGTAAATGAATCTCAGTATCAGCCTGAAAAAATTATTAAAAACTATCTTTTTCATAATTTATATATAAAAAAATCAGCTTACCAAGATATAATTTCAATAAGAGTACAGGTGAGTTTTTGTATGTCATATATTATTCTGTCTATGCTCACATGTGTTCCCGGGCCAACTAATTAATAACACTGGCGGTGCCACACCACACCAGCATTTATCTTATCACTGTTATCTCTAATATGAGGAGGCTATCAGGTATGAGCAATCATTTGTGCCATTAATGATGTCAGCTCAAGAATTTAAATATAATCTAAACCAATATTTAGTATTATTTTTACTGACATCATTGCTACTAAGGCAACAGGATGGCCTTGCTATATTGTATTTGTGTAACACAGTAAATTTTAATTTGATGATAAAAAGGTGCAAGTGGGCGAGCTTCAGATGATATATATATCTTATTTCATTTTTTATTTGAAATCTGTAAATATTTTTCCATTTCTTTCTGTCACCAATATAATTATCCCAAAAGAGGAAAAACACATTAGCTACTCTTCACATGAATAAATCATAAGTACAATACTTCCATATTAATTTTATCTAAATAAGTTTTTATTCCTTATCTATGGTCTTTTCATAACAGCAACTCAAATGATTTTTTTTCTAAACCAATACTGTACACTGGTCACAAAACACTACTGTGTGGTCTTCTTTTTTTGTATATGAAATAGGAACCTACCATCACATTTTGAGATGTTAACTTTTGGGGTGTGGCAGTGATAAGCCAAGGGAAGACCTCAGTCAAATGGCGAGATGCTCTACAGAGTGAGTCATGAAATGAGTAAGATTTCCCTCGCAAGAAATTTTGATATTTCTCCTCACACGTGTAATACTAGCACCACATGTACCTAACTATATCCTCTTTCAAAAGTATAAGTTATGTGATAATGTAGATGTCCATATAAACAAAGGATAATCATTTCAAAATAGCATTGAGTTTGTATATTTTAGAATCATACAGAATCTAAAGGTAGAAAGTTGAAAGTGAACATAGAAAAGAGTAAGGTGATGAGGGTATCAAATGATTTAGATAAAGAAAAAATGGATATCAAATTGGGGAGGAGGAGTATGGAAGAAGTGAATGTTTTCAGATATTTGGGAGTTGACGTGTCAGTGGATGGATTTATGAAAGATGAGGTTAATCA